TTCTCCAATAACTGTATCTTCTTTATTAATGTTAAACACTGTTCGCTAAGATACTTCAGTATACTGCCGTGCTTGGAAAAAACGCCGTATCTACAAAACAGTAACAAATGAGAACATAGGTATAATTTTTATTTTAAGAAGTATGACTTAAGAAAAATTATACTTTACTCAAAAAAAATTTCTTTTAAATACCTCAAATGTTGCTTGTCTGTTATTTTGTCCGCAACAAGTAACGAGTGTGTGATATGTTTTAGTTTCTTCAGCAACCTAAAAAAAAATAACAAACCTAGCAAAAATTAAGCTAAGCTTTAAAATAACTTACCTGATTTAGCCCTATATCATCTCCTATTTCATTAGAACTATTTCGATTTACACTAATATCTGTTACTGCAGGAATATTTGTTGAATTATTATCACTGCAACTGCCTACGCCACTGCTAGATATATTGTTATTGTTTTCACTAAAAAAACTCTCGTTTTCCATATCCGGTGGTAACTCACAAACACTAGCTGTAGTTTTGGTTGTAGCATTTTCAGCTAGTTTCAAAATTAATTTAGTTCTTTTCGACATATTTAAAAAAACACTAGCCGGCTCAAAAATAAACAAACAACTAAAATAGGATGACGAAACATGTGGCCCGTGCTTAGCAAGAACGCATTATCCCATGCGTATTTAGTAAAAACATGAACAAGTTACTGCGTTCTTACTATGCATGGTTTATAGTTAAAATCCAGCAAGCTGCATGGAGGAACACACCAAAAGTAAGAAGATTAACAGCTGGAAAAAACTATCCTGTCGAGATAAGAGAACTAGTAGCAGAAAAAAGAAAACTAAGAAAGAAATGATAGATGACAAGATCACCAGAAGATAAAAATATATTAAATAGGGCTACCCAAAGACTGAGAAGAGAAATTCTAAATCACAAAGAAGAATCCTTCAACAGATACCTAGTAGTGCTAACAGATGATAAAGAAACTGATTATTCACTCTGGAAGGCAACTAAAAAGATGAAAAATTCGTGTAAACACTGTCCTCCTATCAGAATAGCAGATAACAAATGGGCAAGAGACAATCAACAAAAAGCTGATATTTTCGCTGACCACCTACAAAAGACGTTCCAATTAGATGAAAATCAAGACACTCCTAATGAGACCATCCATAATATGGAACAACTTGAAATTAAGCTAGTTACTCCCAATGAAGTTACGAAAGAAATTCAGACAAACATCAACTCACAGAAAGCCCCAGAATATGACCTTATTACTGAAGAAATATTAAAGAAACTACCGCGGAAGGCTATTGTTAAATTGACATACCTCATAAATGCAGCATTTCGCCTTAAATATATACCTGATGCGTGGAAAATGGCTGAAGTTATCCTAATTCCTAAGCCAGGAAAACCTCTGAATGAAGTGTCGTCATATAGACCTATATCATTGTTACCGATAATATCTAAGTTATTTGAAAAACTGTTACTAAAACGACTAAAACCAATAATTGAAAATAAAAATCTGATCCCTTCGCACCAATTTGGTTTTAGAAACAAACACTCGACAATAGATCAAGTACACAGGATAGCCGATATCATCGAAAAAGCTTACGAAGAAAAATATATATGCTCAGCTATATTTCTTGACATAGCCCAAGCATTTGACAAGGTCTGGCACGCTGGCCTAATACAGAAACTTGAAAAAATGCTCCCTAGACAATATGTCGACATTCTACAATCATATTTAACGGGAAGAATGTTTAGAGTAAAGGAAGACGAGGCATACTCCGAAATGAAAGAAATTAAAGCAGGTGTCCCACAAGGCAGTGTGCTAGGACCGGTTCTTTATTTATTATACACCAGCGATATCCCTCAACAACAATCTGTTAAAATAGCAACATTTGCAGATGACACTGCAATATTGGCAGTTGGCGGAACTAATACAGAGACCTCAGAAAAACTTCAGGAAACCTGCAACAGAATTAATCGATGGACAAAAAAATGGAAAATAAAAATAAATCAAACTAAATCAGTGCATGTTGATTTTACTCTTCGACCAAATGAACAAAAACAAATAAGAATAAACAATGACGTTATTCCGCATCACGATTCGGCCAAATACCTAGGGACGAACCTAGATGTAAAACTTAAATGGAAAGAGCACATAAAAAAAAGCGTAAAGAACTTGAACTTAAATTCAAAAAAATGTATTGGCTCCTAGGAAGAAAATCCAAATTGACAGTGCACAACAAACTGCAGATTTATAAACAAATCCTAAAACCAATCTGAATTTATGGCATACAGCTATTGGGATGTGCCAGCAAGAGTAATATCAACATGATTCAAGTTTTCCAAAATAAAGTCCTAAGATGTATTGTTGATGCACCTTGGTTCTACCGAAACGATTATATTCATAGAGACCTGAAGATGCCAACAATCGAAGAAGAAATAAAGAGGTTTGCTGCGAAACATGAGGGTCGACTCCACTCCCACGTCAACGAAGAAGCGCTGCAATTACTGGACAACTCTACACTCAACAGAAAGCTCAAAAGGAAGAAGTCATTTGAGCTAGTGCAGTGAACGTTAATGTTAGTGCTAGTGTAAAACGGTGTAATAAACCTTCACGCCAACTTGTGATGCCCAGTGGGAACTTCTTAGATAAGTAATTAGTTTGTAAGATTTTTAGATTAAAATTGTAGGTTAGTCAGTAATGACTAGTAACAATACTCTAACAAAAAAAAAAACTATGCATGTTTCTATATTTTTGTCAGATACTGCAAATATGGGTATTTGTTCTATGGTTTTGGAGGTACAAAGGTACATACGGCATTTTTGTTAAGTTCTATGGATAGGGAATTGAATTTCATGTTAATATAGGTTAAAACCCCACTTTTCGAATTTTTGGTAAATACGGCGTTTTTGCTAAACACGTCAGTATAATAAGTCTCACATTTAATGGCTATTTCATCCACAGAAAGTGAAACAAAGTATTTTCGAAGATTATTAAATATATTAAGTACGATATTTTTTTCTTCTAAAGACAATGATTTGTGTCCACTAGGTCGTTTACGCGTACTTGTGCTTGCAATATTTTCTAATGCACTCGCCATTCTTATATAACTGTAAAGTTATAATATATACTAATACAAAAGTCCAAATCAATAAAATAAATATGATACGACTATGAATAAATAAAGTCAAACTTATCTTTCAAAATAAAAGGTTTATTACAGTAAAAAACCATGGAAACTCGATTAATTCAAAACGAAAACTTTTATTAGGCCGATCAGATGTAGGTATTAAAAACTACAAATAATCATTGATGATTAAGATATAAATAAAATATCTACCTCTTGAACCTGTACTATGTTCTGCAAATTAAATTACTTCACTTCTTTCTTCTCTAGACTAATTTCAATTTTTCAGGTGACGCATGAGAGCCGGATTTGCCTAAATCGACTCTTGTTATAAATAAAGATTGAATTATATATACAGGTTGATCCATTAGTGTGGAAATGGTTAATATATCCTTCACCATTAGATATATAAAAAAATATATTCACAGATTGTAAACAGCGTTAAACTACATATCGTCGTATTTTGGAAAGTTTTCAGGAGGAATAAAAAATAGTATAACTCGTGCAAGTAATTAAAATAATAAATATTTACATGAACTTTTTTTAACGTCCCGAACAATGCGTCACTTCGAGAGGTTGTAGTTTGTGGCTGGCATGGCAACAAAGACAACAAAATGATGCCATTCCCTCGGCAGTATTCAATTGCTGACAAAATACAATGTGAAATAGGATTATCAAATACCAACAATTTCTTTTGTTGTAACCAAGTGATAAACAGCTCTGAAGTTATGAAACCTGACTCAGATACCATTTTTTTTAGTTTTGCACCTTTTGGATCTCCCGTCCTATCACCCTAAACCATCGAGGAAAAATGAGAGCAGGTGGAACATAGAAACCTGCCGTACTAAGCCAGCCAATTGCGGCCACTGACTCTCCTCGTTCGCGGGAGACGGTTTTCGACACCAGCCATTTTCCTTTTGGAGAAATTATTTTCGGAAATTAGTTATGATTAGGTGACACATTTGTTTTGTCAATATTAAAGATGTCGCTTGCAAAAACTTCAGGATTCTCGTTTAGGTTTACTCTAAAATGTTGATGGAACTTATCAAACTAAACTCTGTTACTTTCAAATGAGCATTTCTTTGACTGCCTTATTGCTAAGGACTGCATCCCACAGAAATTTTTTACCCATTTATCACTTGCTAGCTTTTTCTTCTTGTTAAATATCTATGAGGAATATTATTCTGAGGTTCATATTAAAACATTATAGCCATTACTTGTATCCTTGCTGTACCAAAATAATTACTCTCTAAAATCTTAGTATGCGTCACCAAAGATTCCTCTTCTTGAAAATACGGGTTTAAATATAGCTAAGGAAGATGGAACTGTTCCCAGAGAAAATAATTTCAAAATTAATATTTATTACAAAATACATGCTTATAGGCCATAATAATCAGTCAATAGACTTAGATTAATACAAATATTGAACTTGTAGATTTAAATCTCTTTCGCAGCACGTTGCTGCACATCTACAAGTTTCGCAATATATCGTACTGTTAACTTTTTTTTTAATTTTAATGTCATAGTTTATCTGAAATAAAAAAAAAAGACCCAAGTGTCCCAAGAGTACGCAATGGATATACTAGTGCGTACTCTTAAGGCGTTGCGCCATTATTTATATTCTTTAACACCTTAATATCAAAACTATTGAAGGAATTAAATACGCTCCATGAATAAGATCCAGAGACAAGTAAGAATAAAATATAAATGATACAATTCAAAATACCACATTGTAAAAACAACACATAAATTTTCGAGAAATATATAAACGAAATAGTATCTACTGACGCTCAAAATTCTACATACCTCCTCTCTTGTTGAAAGAATTTTGACTGATTACGAGGAATGATGCTTGTTAATAGACTTCAACTAGTTAAGAAGCAAATCCAGTGTATTGTTTCTTAATATTAACTATTGGTGATAATTCTTTAAATTGAACATATCTTTTAGGTTTCTGGCCAGGAGCTTTGGATGAGCTTGCTACAAAATTATTAGCATCGCTCTTGCAGAAATATGACTGACCAACATCAGTAGATGCTTTAGAGCTACTTGCTCCTAAATTAATAACATCGCTTTCTCTGACATTTTGAAGCTGGCCTACATTATCAGATGTATAAACATTTAAATCTTGAATGCTAACTTCCTCAATATCACCAGTTACTAGATTGGTTGAGGGAATTGCGGATGGGAGGAAATCATCCTGGCTAGATATGAAAGGGTTATAAGGCCAAATTTCACTAACTTGAGATCTTTTTTGGACTTTTTCTGTTAATGCGATTTTTACAAACTATCTTATAAAATATTTTTGCCACGTCATAGGGAGCGATTTTTGAGTGGGGATTTGTTTCATAAAAGTGGAATGCTCATTTGAATATGTCTTTGTTTCTTGAGGTATCGAATACAGTGAGATACAAGGGTTGGAATTTGTGGCACGTGTGAAGTGGGAAAGATACCACAGTAATACCATTTGCATGGCAGAAGTTGTAAGCAATGGCCAGTGTGATTATCAAGAATGAGTAGAACAGGATTACCAATGGAATAAGTGAAGCAGCATGACGTTTAAAATAAATAGCTACTTTCAATGGGTATATCAAATTCTTGTTGCTATTGTGGTAGCAGAATCAGCTTGCTGAACGGTACGCAAACAGCGATAGATTTTAGGGGTTTTAGGTGGTTTTTATAAGCTTTCCCGCTCAAATTTCGCGATCGTAGCAGAATGGAGCGTAAAAATTAAACGCTCCAAAATAATACCGATCGATACGAAGCGATATCTATCGTAAAACAAAAGTGATTGGTATCGGTTGGGATCGCTAGGTCTCATTGAAAGCAGATAATAACTTCTCTATTATCCACCCTTTCAAAGAGCAGGTGTATTTTGCACCCACGATATTTCCTTTTAGCTACTCAGGCGTCCTTGCCCTCGTGTATAAAAATATAGGCGGAATAAAAGAACTTGATGCACTAATACAGCTAGATTCAGTTATATTCCGCAGACGCTCGTAGCTAACCGCTTTCTCAAGTTGGTAATACCTATCTCATCCATTTTATAGATGCGATGAGGTTCAATTTGAATCTTTTCCAGTGTACTACCAAGATTCACACTTTCTTGATTAAACCCAGAAATTCTGCCTAAGCTTGTCGAGTCTAGTTTCCTGGGAAATGTGTGGGTTTATCTTCATAAAGGCACCCAACCAGTCTTTTTCCGCCATTCTTTTGAGTTGCATTAAAACGATGGGTGATAGATAGAGTTTGACTCAGCATTCAAATATAAGTTTTCTCAACTCAATTGGGGTCAGACCGTAAAACATTTTTGCCAAATATATGCAGTGTTGCACTATTTCACTTTCCTGGTTATTATTAAAAATTAAATTGCCGGGATATTGCTGGCCTTGTCTGTAATTGAAGGGAAAATGAATGCGACGATTAAAAGACAAAAGTCTACTTTTGGCCTTTCGATAGTGGCCCAGCATTATGTTGCTTGATGATGGTAGGGTAAGTAACTGTATTGGGTAGAAGCATGGTAAAAGTCAAAGGCCTTTTAACTGCCGCAGACCCAACTCCAACAGTCCAGGAGGGCTCCGTCCCGCGTTCATAGATGGAGACACCGATGATCGCTTGTTTCATACTCAACGAGTGGACATGTACTATGAGGCCAGTCTCGCATTTCTGGTATTCACTATTTAGTATTTATTGTAATTTTTTACTTTTACATGTTAATTTAGAATATTTTATAAATAATTTTTTTAAGAAGACATTTTTTTCTGTAATATATTATATAGCTAAATTAAATAAAATGTCTACAAAATTCTATATCAAAATACCTTCTTTTTTTGTATAGAATTAATAGTTCAAACGGTACTACTGGCCAAGGAGGCACTATCGAATATCTTGTCTGGTAATGTGTCATATGTGCCTGACACATGGCCTTCATTCAGCAGTCAGAATTATTATGGTAAAAGGCCAGCTATTTCCCATCAATAGGCCATTAATTGCCAATATAATTATTTCTAGACATTTAAAGGGAAAATGGCCCGACTGTCGGCCGTAGTGATCTATATATGCCGGCCTTTTAATTATAAAAGTTAAATGGCCATCATTACAATTGGATGTTAACAATTACTGGGCCTTTTATTATCCTGCACAAAATGTTTGCTGGGCACAATAATCATATTAATATAAATATTTTCTACACTCACATGGATAATAGCTTATCTAAGCACAGATTACAAAACGAAAAATTATGCTATTTCGTTTAACTGAACGAATATATTTCATATTCATTCTATCAAGTAATAACACAGCAAAAATTGAAATCCACCAATCACAGTTCATATTTTGGTCACTCGACTACTATTATTTTTTTAAATTTTAAATAAGTTACAATTATGTCAAAGTAATTGTCAATGCCTATATTCTTGTGTAGAATCAATAAATAATAGCATTTCCATTATTATTTCGTCTATATTTAAAAATAAACCATACATTTTAACAAAACTGTATGAAATCAATTTAATTACGAATATTAAAACTAAATTATTATGTGTGACGATGGAGCAGTGACTAAGTCATTTGGCTTTCACGCAGATATCCCTGGCTCAATTCTAGGATTGTAGATAAATTATATTATTTTTTTTTCAAGTTTATTTTATTATATAAATTAGCAAAAGTTTTAAAATTTTTTTAAATTAGGTAGATAGTTTATCTTAATAACTTAAAATTATTTTTAACACTTTTAGATTTTTATTAGTGGGTCGTAGAAAAATATACTGTACAATTCCAGTGCACTCCGCCTACGGCGTCGTGATCAAACTTCGACTTCGTGCGATATAGCCATCATATTTATCCACTCTTGTTTCACAAACTATACTATTTTGCAGTTTTTTATACAAGGTGGAATGGATACGAAATATATTCGTTCAGTTGAACACAGTGATATACTTTTTAGTTTGTACCCTGTGCGTAAAATATCGGTGTGGGTGTAGAAAAAATCTTATCCGCACGGCGTGTGGAAAAATGTACCTAGCTTTGCGCACGAAAATGCATGTCAAAAAGTACCTAGGTACCTATGTACCTACCTACTACCCAGACAGCACACCAAATCCTTTGGATATCTACTGAACATCCCAATATCCACTGAATGTCCAGTCCATGGTAGATATCTATTTTATATCCATGAAATGTAATTTATAGACATGCAAATGTCCATAAATAATAGTAATTATATAGCAAATTATTAAAAAATTACGCCATTGTGCTCGCCATTGTGGCTTATAGTACCGTTCAGATATTTAAAATTATTTTTTTTAAGGTGTATTCAATATCCCATGAACATCCACTAAATATATCAGAGTCTAGGCGCGAACGCAAACCATCGTGGATATCCACTAGATGTTATTTGATTATGCTTACTAAGTATAGATGGCGATACCACTATCGCATCTACTCATGCTCGACCCGCCGTAATTGAGTTGGATCGAAATGTGTGTCTTAATCACTCCATTAGAGACTGGAGTCGAGAATTTTCATTTATTGCTGAAGAGTCCTAATAAGGATGACTTTCTCCTTAGTGGGCAAAATCAAAGGCAGTGTGTTGAAAATATTTTGAGTGTTGAAAATATTTTTTATCTCTGCTATTTTCTTTCGACGTTATTCAATAATCATTGGTTACTTATGAACCTCTACTAAAGATACCCATAAAATATTTTGCTGAATATCTGAATATCTTCTATGTCCTGGGATATAGACGGACATTTGGTTGGATATCCCTATTGGATATATTGAATATCCACAAAATATATTCTGTGGATATCTCTGTATTTTCTGGAAGATACCCATTAGATATTTTGCTGAATATCCATTAGGATATCTTCTATATCCTGGATATAGACGGACATTTGGATATCCATATTAGATCCACGGAATATTTCTGATATCCTGTGGATATATTGGATATCCACAAAAGATATTCTGCGGATATCTCTGGGATTTGGTGTGTTGTCTGGGTAGGTACTCACGGTCCGTAAGAAAAATCTTCACTCAAAATCAATTTCAGTTAGTTATTGATGAAACAAACCAAAACATGCCATAAAAAAATTAAATAGGCTGCAAATTTAAAATAATTGAATAATTACCTACATGATTTTGTTGGCGTAAAGAATCCTGAACTGATTCAGAACTAATTTATACTTGGATTCATTATCGATTTTTACCGCAAAGGCAACCTCTACTATCTGTTAAATCTGTTATTCTACTTTTTCTAGGCATAACATAAGCGAATTAGAATAAAGAATTCAGTTTTAATTACTTTGCATACCAAAAGTTACATATAAAATACAGAATCAGTTTAGGATTATTATGCCAACTAAGCGATAATGAATATTTCTAAAATAAATTTAGAATCTTACATCAAGCGCCATCTACCCCAAACCTAACGAATGAACGAATCTATCAGTGGCCATGTTACAGTAAATCGAGTAGAAATCCGATGTCTAATGTATTTCAAACACTGAAACCTGTTAGTGTTAGAATTAGAAATTAGATGTCACTAAATGCTTCAAAAAAGCATCTGCTTTGTGTTTATGTAGAAGGTGAAAGTAGCTAGAGTTGTGTTTACCTAAAAATAAAAGTGTACCATAAGATAGAATAATTTTAAATGTTAGAGATTAGAAGTGTATATCTATAACCTAATCGAAAATCTATCAATGCCTATTAATTCGCGTGTTACTTGCCTATTTCTTGACTTTTCGTGTGGCTAGGCGCTAGCAAACCATAGCTATGAACAGACAGATTTATTTGTTTTCTAAGAATGTTCTTAAAGTGAAAAACATTTTTGCGGTCAGTTTCTGAGTGAATAAAAAGTTCTACTGTAACCCCTATAAGACTGCAAAATCAAGACTGGATTTTTGTTTATAAATAAGAGGTAAGAGACATTTGACTATTTTATCTAGTTTCTATTGATAGTTAGGCAATAATAGATACACGAATACCTAGTTCTTTTATGTATTTTAACAGTATTTTGGTTTATACATTTTTTTAATGTCTACATTTATTTAATGCTGTTTACAAAATTTAACCCTAAATCTTCAATTCATTTACTAATGATTCAATATACATCTATAAAAATGAGTAAATATAGATAAAAATATATATAGAAATGTGGGTGGGTTTATTAAAAGAAACTTATGGACCTATTATTATAATCAGATGAGATACGGGCACATCCAAAATATAGGTCAAATAATAATTGTATTAAGGTCGATGAACCT